TTCAGCTTGATTTGATCTCCATACACTTGTGTCAGTGTTAATGGCGCAAGAGTAATAGTCTTCCCATCCTTAACAAAGCTATAACAATTCCTATATCTATCATGTGTGACCCTTCTATCATATTGCCATGGTCTTCCTAACAAGATATGACCCACATGCATAGGCACCACATCACATACTACTTTGTCACTATAACTCCCAATTGAGAAATTAATTAAAACTCTTCTATTCACCATAACTTCCCCACTTTCATTCAACCATTGCAACTTATAAGGCCTAGGGTGTCTTAACAATGCTAGTCCTAATTTCTCAACTAAAGTTGTGCTAGCTACATTCGTGCAACTCCCACCATCAATAATCATACTACATACCTTATTGTTGACGTAACAACGTGTGTGGAATATATTTTCTCGCTGTTGCTCCGAATCATCCACTTTGACTTGAGTGTTAAGAGCTCTTCTTGACACCAATGATTCCCCAACAGCAAACTCCAATTTTTCTTCTTCTTCAACGTCCTCCAATGCAGGCATGTCCTCAAACTCTCTTTCACTTTCACTCACCACCTCTCCATTATCCAACAACACCATTACCCATTTATTTGGGCATTGAGAAGCAATGTACCCTGACCCCAAGCATCTGAAACACTTGATGTCTCGATTCTTTGATGGTTGTGAATCTGTTTTGGGTGCTGTTTTGCTAGCACTTTCTTCTTTCCCTTTTTGCCGCTCATTCCTACCTTTAGGTACAGCTTTATCACCTTTGTTGTTGTTGTTCCACCCTAGCTTCCAAGATGGATTAACACTCGAAGTTCCTAACGGCTGCCTAGCTGCCCCTTTTCTCTTCAGTTGTCTCTCTACCTTCATAGCCACATGCAACATGTCTTCCAACTCCACATAATGTTGCAACTCCACTATATTGGCAATTTTCCTATTCAACCCATTCAAGAATCGTGTCATGGTAGCCTCCCGATCCTCCACCACATTGGCCCTAATCATGAGTATTTCCATCTCCTTATGATAGTCATCTACACTTTTCGGCCCTTGATATAGACCTTGCAGTTTTTGATGGATCTCTCGGTAATAGTGGCTAGGAACAAACCTCTTTCTCATCAATGACTTCAATTCCTCCCAAGTGCTGATTGGTCTTCCCCCACTCCTACGTTGTGAAGTAATCACTTGATCCCACCTTGAAATTGCATAGTCACTAAACTCCAAAACTATTAACTTTACCTTTTTCTCCTCCGAGTAGTTATAACACTCGAAGTTAATTTAACCTTCCTTTCCCACTCCAGATATACCTCGGGATCACTCCTTCCTTTGAATGAAGGAACTGTCATTTTTATATTTCCCAAGTTTCCATCCAACTCCTCCCCGCAATCATTTCGACGCCGTCTGTCGAACCTATCGCCTCTATTCCTCATCCTTCCCATCTCAACACCGTGAAATTCATCTTCGCCCATGTCACTCCCATATCCATACTCATCTCGTATTTCCCTCCTAGGCTCCCATCTATCCGGTCCTTTGGTATTGGATACATCCACTCGATGCAGCCGACTAAGATTAGCCAGCGATGTATCTAATCTATTCATCCAAGCCTCCTACTTCTCCAACCTATCTCTCACATCTCCAAACGCCCTCTCAAACCTCTGCACCAAATCCTCAGATGCATTGTTATTATTGCCTTGTCGGCTTGAGTTTGATTCTGCCCTTTTTGACATCCTAACACTAAAAATTTTATTTTATTGCCTCACAAAAAGACACTCGGAAACACACAAGGGCTTTTACCCTCTATTAAGCTCACTTCTCTGCCTTTTACCACTCAGTTCTTTCAACAATTGCTTCTAGGAACAATCAATGAACTCAATCAACCAATCAATTCGTGTAGAATTCCCCAAACTGGATGTTACTTGCCTTCGTCGGGCTCGACTCCTAGATCATATCAAATAGTTTGTTAAATGAAGTGATGAGAAGAAAATCACGGGGTTCCTCTATATAGTTAGAGGTCTTGGTTATAGAAAAGAGGGGAAGAAGTAAGACCAAATGTCCAAAGAATGGAGACACAAGCACAGGCAAGTCGAACAAGTTTGTGAGCATCGAGTGTTATCATTATGGGAAAAAAGGACACATCAAGAAACATTGTAGGCAAAAGTGAAGAAAAAGAATGACAAAGATGGTGATGATAGAGTTGCTACCACCACTCCTACAGATTTCCTTATTACTTATGATGATGAGATGATCAATTTTGCAAGTCATGAGTGATGTGAATCCATGTAGCATTAGTAACTCTGACACCACAAAAAGACTGAATCGAACCTAAGAAAGCCAAAAAATCAAGGTTTGGAGTTTGACCCAAAAATATTGAACCAAGAAACTAACACAATTGTCTTCAATATGTCGACCCCTTGATCACAAAATTCAAGAATCTTATACGAATTATTTGAACTCCACAAGAAAATAATTCTTGTTGAGTTCAAATTTTAGTTCAATGAAGAATAAGAAATTGAAAGCAAAATTGCTCGCAAAATAATCTCTCTATTGAAATGAACGAAAGTTGAATACAATGTAGAATAATGGATCCTATTTATAGGAAACCCATAAAATCCTATTCTAAATGGAACTAAAGTCTAAAATATTGCTAAAGTTACAAAAAAGTAAATTTTTAACAAAAATAAAAGATTTCAGAGAAATTGGGGAATCTTACGATCGAAACTAACTATGCGGTTGCATAGTAGTATTCACATGCTTATGTAAACTACAAGCCTTTTTCCGCTGCTCGAACCAAGATGAACCATCTTGTTTCCTCTTTTGAGCCCAACATGAAACTTGTTTCTTTACTTGTCAAGATCAATGTTTTCATCTATTGTAGCTTGCACAAGTAATCCCATTGCTTCTTTAACTCTCTTTGCTCGCAACCTGGTCATATGGCATTCGTCAACAATTAATTGATCTTTGCCCGGACTTGCCTTCGTTGCACTCGTTCCATGTATCACATCATTCTGTTCCTCTTCGAAAGGATTCGACCTCGAATTTGTACCTACAGTAAAGAAAGAAAGATGAGACATATTAAAAGTAGCAAAAACATTATACTCACAATGAAGATCTAATTTGTAGGCATTGTTATTAATCATTTCAAGGACTTGAAATGGACCATTTCCACGTGGCTGCAACTTTATTTTCTTTGTTCTGGAAAGCATTCCTTTTTTAGTTTTACCCAAACCCAATCACATGATTCAAATGTAATGCTCTTCCGGCCTTTTTTGGCTTGCAAAACGTAGTGCTTGTTTTTCTTTTCAATTTGCATTCTTATCTTTTCATGGATGGCCTTCTTCTTTTGATCTAAACTATCTCGTTTATTAACAGGTAAAGGAATTAAATTCAAAGGTGTTAGTGGACTAAAACCATATGTAATTTCAAAAGGTGAACATGAAGTAGTAGAATACGTGGCCTTATTATATGCAAATTCAATGAATGGTAAGCACTCTTCCTAGCTTTTCAAATCTTTATTAACTATAGTGAAGAACAATTGTATCATGGTCTTATTAACTACCTCAATTTGCCTATCAATTTGTGGGTGACAAGTTGTAGAAAACAACAACTTTTTACCTAACTTATTCTACAAAACCCTCTAAAAGTGACTAAGGAATTTTAACACCCTTATCTGACTCTTAGGAATCCCATATAAATTTGACGCTCGAGAGAGAGAAATCTAGGCATGATCTAGAACAACATAACCTAGATTCGTAGGTTTTGAGAGGAAATACGAGTCTTTGAGGATAAATTCATTCAAGAACCAAGTGCATTGATAATCTTTATATATTTAATTCAGAATAGATATTGGGATTAAACTGTAGAGATAGGTTCTATTAGCACTCAAGAGAGGGAATAGGATTAAATTAGGGTTCTTGCCTATAAATTTGGGAAATAGTTGAGGAAAATAACTATAGAGATTGAAAAACGTGTTGATAATATGGTGATATAATTCCCTAGATATCCATATATTGATTCAATCTTTAGAAATTGCCTCATTTTACTTACATTCTCTATTTCATTTTTATTTAATTAGCGTAAGAATATCACTTCAATTTGATTATCTAAATAAAGTGAAAATCGAAACAATTTGATTATCTTAGTAGAATTCGAATATCAATTCCTGTGGGTTCGACACTTTTCAATTCCTTACAATACTACAAAACTTAACACTATATACTTGCAGTTAAATCACGTGGCAAGTTTTTGGTGCCACTGTCGAGGATTGATTCATTTAAATTCAATTGATATTATTACCAATTGTCGTTCATTTTAATTAGATTTTTATTTTTACTGTAGTTTCCTTTTTATTTGTTTTGTGCCTATCTCTCACAGCTCCCTTGTGTTTATTTTCAGCTGTTTATGCGAACGGCGAGAAATTTAGACCTTCTACCTATTGATCCTGAACCCGAATGCACATTCCACATTCTAAGAGGTATACAAAGAAACGAATAGAAAGCAGCGACAGAACAGATTGCAAGAGCAACTAACAAATATAATCAACAATCATGACCACATAAAGCCTATTGTCAATGACAACTACTCCTGTATCGCATGCCTAGCTGTTGCTGCAAACAACTATGAATTGAAGCTAGGATTGATACATATGGTACAGCAGAATCAATTTGGGGGAGTTGCAATAGAAGACCCAAATGCTCATCTGGCTTCTTTCTTGGAAATTAGTGATACATTGAAGATGAATGAGGTTACTGAAGATGTAATTAAACTCTAGCTATTCTCATTCTCCTTGAGGGATAAAGCAAAGGCTTAGTTCCAGTCACTACCATATAACTCAATTACAACTTGGGATGATTTGGCTCAGAAATTCCTCACCAAGTATTTTCCACCTTCTAAATTAGCTCAACTTCGAAATGAGATCAGCCAATTCAAACAATTTGATTTTGAGCCTTTTTATGAAGCCTGGAAGAGGTTTAAAGACCTGCTTAGGAAATGCCCTCAACATGATTTTCAAAAATGGGTGCAGATGAGATCTTCTCTAATGGGTTAAATGGGCAGACAAGAACTATAGTAAATGCAACTGTGGGAGGTATTCTAATGGCTAAAACAGCAGAGGCTACATATTCCCTGTTGGATGACATAGCCACAAATAGTTACCAATGGTCAAGTGAAAGATCCAGTGTAATGAAAGTAGTAGGACTTCATGAACTGGATCCCATCACAACACTAGCAATTCAGGTTACATCACTCACAAATCAGATCGTCACGTTTACTACTCAAGAGAATCAACAGAAGGCAGATTCAGTCATGAGTGCTTCTTCATCACACCAGGAGATAGAGGTTGCAAAGGAACAGGTTCGATATGTCAATAGCAGCAACTACAATCCGAGAAAAAATTTCTCTGCTAATCATTATCATTTAGGGCTGAGAAATCATGAGAACTTATCATATGGCAACAATAGAAACATGCTTCAACCTTCACCTAGATTCAACACTCGAAATTCTAAAGGGAAACCATCCTTAGAGGATATCCTTGGGACATTCATTTCTGAAACAAGATCGCGCTTCAATAAAGACGAATCACGTTTGGATAATATTCAAACACATGTATCCAACATGGGATCCACAATGAAAAATCTTGAAGTTCAAATTAGTAAGTTGGCCACCTCGATGAAGTCTCAACAATAAGTAAAATTTCCAAGTGATACAGAAGTCAACCTAAAGGAGTACTGTAAAGCTGTTGTATTGAGGAGTGGCAAGCAAGTTGAAGAAGGTAAACTAACAGAAGAAAGCGTTCCCACAACTGACAATGAGGAAGAAAAAATAACAGCAGAGTAAGAAAATCAGACTAAAGGATCAAAGAAGGCTCACAAACCTTATTCCATATCCTTTTCTGATAACCCACCAATTCTCAAACCAGCACTTCCATTGCCAAAGCATTTTCAAAAGAGAAAAAATTGATGATCAATTTGCTAAATTTTTAGAAATTTTCAAGAAAATTCGCATTAATATTCCTTTTGCAGATGCTTTGGAACAAATGCCAAATTACGCAAAGTTTATGAAGGAGGTAATGTCAAAGAAGTGGAAGTTGAAAGAGTATGAAATAGTGAAATTAACATAATAATGCAGTGCTATCCTTCAAAAGAAACTTTCTCAGAAGAAAAAAGATCCAGGCAGTTTCACTATTCCCTGCACCATTGGGAGTTCTTCTTTTGACAAAGCCCTGTGTGATCTTGGAGCAAGCATCAACCTGATGCCCTTATCTGTGTTCAAGAAGTTAGGCCTTGGGAAGGTCAAGCTAACTATAGTGACCCTACAACTAGCTAATAGGTCCCTCACATACCCACAAGGGATTATTGAAGACGTGATAGTAAAGGTCAACAAATTTATTTTCCCTGCTAACTTTGTGGTATTAGATATGGAAGAAGATTAGGAAATCCCATTAATGTTTGGCAGGCCATTTTTAGCAACAAGAAGGGTACTAATTGAAGTACAAAGAGGTCATTTAACATTGAGAGTGAATCAAGAAGAGGTGAGGTTCAACATTTACCAAGTAATGAAGTACTCGGACGACATTAACACTTACCATAGGATTGACTTCATTGTGTCTGCTATGAAAGAAGAGAAATTATGCATTGAGGATTCCTTAGAACAATGTATGATGTTTAGTGCAACAAAGGATGATATTACAAATTCTGGAGAGTACATAGGGAACAAGGACTTGGTTGACTGTATATTGGCTCTTGAGGCTACACCAGTTGAAGATAATCTGTCACCATATGAGGACATTCAACAATCAGAGGGATCAGATGACAAAGAAAGTAATGAAAGCAGAAAAATTGAACTGAATCAATTATCGAAATACCTTCGATATGCATTTCTGGAAGACAATTCTTTATTTCCAATGATTGTTTCTTCATCACTCACTCGGGGCGAAGAGGACAGATTATTGAAAGCACTGAGAAATCACAAGGCTGCTTTGGGATTATCGATAGCTGATATCAAGAGGATAAGTCCTATGATTTGCATGCATAAAATCATCATGGAAAATTCATACAAGCTATCCATTAAACATCAGAGAAGATTATCTAGCCATGAAAGAAGTGGTTCGAGTAGAGATACTAAAGCTACTGAAGGCAGGAATCATATTTTCCATTTTAGACAATGAATAGGTCAGCCCAATTTAGGTGGTGCCAAAGAAAGGAGGGATGACAGTAGTTAAGAACGACAATAATGAGCTAATTCTGACAAGAACAGTAACTGGCTAGAGGGTGTTCATTGATCACATGAAGTTGAACAAAGCAACTTAAAAGGATCATTTCCCGTTCCCATTCATTAATCGAATGTTGGACAAATTAGCAGGCTACTCTTACTATTGCTTTCTGGACCGGTATTTAGGTTACAATCAGATTGCTATAGCACTAGAAGATCAGGAAAAGACAACATTTACCTGCCCTTATGGTACTTTTGCCTACAAACGGATGCCATTCAGGTTATGCAATACACCGACCACTTTTCAGAGTTGCATGATGGCAATTTTTGTAGACATGGTTGAGGACATCATGGAGGTATTTATTGATGACTTTTCTGTGTTTGGTACTTCTTTTAATAACTACCTTCACAATCTCTTGTTAGTGTTGCAACGCTGTGAGGAAAATAACTTAGTTTTTAACTGGGAGAAATGTCACTTCATGGTACAAGAAGGAATTGTGCTAGGCCACCATGTTTTAGCGAGGGAACTTAAAGTTGACAAAGCAAAAATTGATACAATAGCAAGGCTACCACCACCCACTAATGTCAAAAGCATTCGAAGTTTCTTGGGACATGCTGGATTTTATAGGAGGTTTATCAAAGACTCTTAGAGGTAGCTAAACCCTTATGTAACCTGTTGGAGAAGGACATAACATTCGTGTTTGATGAAGACTGCTTAAAAGCATTGAGATAATAAAGGAAAAATTAGTTACTGCTCCAGTAATGGTAGTACCAGATCGGGATTGGCCATTTGAAGCTATGTGTGATGCTAGTGACTATGCAGTAGGGACAGTTTTAGGATAAAGGAGAGATAAGATATTCCAGGCGATCTACTATACTAGCAAAAACCCTTAATGGAGCTCAACTAAACTACACAACAATAGAAAAGGAGATATTAGCAGTAGTCTTTGCGTGTGAAAAATTCAGATCCTACTTTATTGGTACAATGTGATCATTTACACAGACCATGCTGCAATCCCATATCTATTTGAGAAGAAAGATACCAAGCTATGCCTAATTCGATGGATGTTGCTACTAAGGAGTTTGATGTAGAGATTAGGGATAAGAAAGGCAGTGAGAATGTTGCTGCAAATCATCTTTCATGGTTAGAGAATGAAAAATGGTAGATGAGAGTCAAATTCGAGAAACTTTTCTCGATGAGATCTTATTAGCCGTGTCATCAAAGATCCTACGGTATGTTGATTTTGTTAACTACTTGGTGTCTGGAAGACTGCCACCTGACTTGGCATTCCATCAAACGAAGAAATTTTTACATGACGTCAAGTCATATCAGTGGGATGATCCAATAATTTTTAAGAGGTGTGCTGATAGAATAATTAGGCGGTGTATTCCTATGGAATAAACAAGATCCATCATGCAACTTTGTCATTCCTCACCTTAAGGAGGTTACTTTGGTCCTACATGCACTGCTTCCAAGGTGCTACAATTTGGATTCTATTGGCCAAATATATTCAAAGACTATTATGCCTTTGCGATGACATGTGACCATTGTCAGCGCACTGGAAATATTTCAAGATATCATGAGCTCCCATTAACTAATATGCTCGATATGGAGTTATTTGAAGTGTGGGGTATAGACTTCATGGGTCCCTTTTTGCCATCCTTTGGTCAGGTATACATTCTTCTTGCAGTAGACTATGTATCTAAATGGGTTGGAGCCATTGCCACACTAAAAAATGATGCAAAGGTAGTTTTGAAGTTTTTACAGAAACATATCTTCACTCGGTTTGGCATGCCTAGGGCAATAGTAAGTGATGAAGGTACATACTTTTGTAACAAGCTATTCAATTCCCTTCTAGCTAAATATGATGTGATGTGATCCAAGAGCCGTAAGTATCAAGGTCAAGTCCATCGTCAAGCCCGAAGAAAGATCCGTTGATAGTCGAGGGCGGTCCGATGACTCGAGCGAGGACAAAGTGGGTAAAAGAGGTAATGGGATTGCTCATTCAAGAAACCATTGATGGAATGATGTTAGGGATGCAAAATGGGGCAACTTTCATGTTCGGGTCAAGAGCCGAATCAAATTGGATCAATTCAATACAAGTCGACAAAAACGGAAGCAAACTGCTCTACCATGTGACTGCATAGTAAAACAGGGCTTGCGGTGCATAGGGTGTGGCAAGGCCAATGCAATCATAGTTCAAGTGAACTATGCGACTGCATAGGTTTACACTATGCAATCACATAGTGTTATTTCGGGGACAAAATTTCATTTTTTCACTTTTTTTCATATTTTGTTAGAATTTTATTCCCAGTCAAATTCTTATGATATTGGTTGGTTATTTTTGAGATTCTACTAGATTATTAGTATTTTACTCCATTTGGACTTCTGTTCTAAGATTTAGTATAAATAGAACCTTATTCCTTCATTGTAAAGAACCTTTAACATATTGATTAATTGAAAGGCTTTAATTGCTTTCTATTTGTTCTTCCAATTGAACAATTTTCGAACTTATCAAGATCTGATTCTTGTGGGATTTAAATCAACCAGGTGAGATTCCATAATTCTGCATAATCAAGAGGTCCGCACATCATCGGCGATTCGGGTTGCTTGGTTCCAGATTTATCGAATTCGAATCCAAAACCTTGCTTTAGCTTTCTTGGGAAGATTTCCATCTTCTTCATGGGTTCCATAGCGTTTACCTACGCGGGTTCACATCAGTTAGTATCAGAGCTTGGCTCCAATCCAAGGTTATATCTCTTTTTAATTCTTGTTGAGTCAATTATTCATTTTCTTTACTGTTCTTCGACTACGTTAGTATTTTAGAGTTTTTAATCCAAAAAAGTTATAAAAAAAACTTTAAAGTTGTTTTTGGATTCAATTTATATCCAAATCAACTTCCGTTTGTTGCTTCAGTTTTGTTTTTGATTTTTCTATCCCAATACTTAAAAAAATTACTATTCATCCATACACTAAAAAAATTCCAAAAAAATCCGAATTTAAAAAAAAATTGTTATTATTATTGTTAATCTTGGAAATTACCGATTTCTTGAATCCATTTATTAGTTTGTGTCTAGTTTAAATTTTCAGTCAGTAATTTCCTTTCTTATTTTGCGTTCTTGAGTGAATTTCTTTACTTGTCTAGTTTGAATTGCCAGTCAAATTGTTCTAAATTCCTTGGCCTTGTAATCTCACTCACACCGGTTTGAATTCCATGTAATTAAATTTTTGATTGAGTTCCAAAATTGTTCTTTTGAGGACTTGGTGAAAGCAACGAGTGATAAAAGGCAGAGTGGTGAGAATAATCGAGGGAAAAGCCATATTGATTGAAATTTTGAGTGAACAATCGTGAGGCAAAAAAATAACTTAGATTTAGGATGTCTAATAGGGAAGGATCAAGTTTAGGTAGAATTGATGATCGGGTTTCCATGCTAGAGGACTCAGTGCAACGGATTGAGCTGATATGTGTAGATATGAGGGATCAGATGGATAAGCAGGATGCACAGGGAGAAGGCTAAATCCATTACCTGCCAATACACGAAGGGGAGGTCTTAATACAAGGAGACAAGCTAGACGGGAACCTAGGATGAAGGAGCTTAGTGAATTTGAGGTTGATAGTAGGATAGATGAAGATGCGATTATGGATGCGGATATTAGAAAGGGTAGAAATAGAGGAGTTAGGTAAGAAATGAGAGGTAGGAATCTCTGTGGAGATGAGGTGGATGGGAATTTGAGTAACATTAAAATGACCATTCTTTCATTCAGAGGTAGGAGTGATCCAGAGGCCTACTTGGACTGGGAGAAGAAAATTGAGCTAATTTTTTATTGCCACAATTACTCGGGAGAGAAGAAGGTGAAAATTGCAGTTCTTGAATTCACGGACTATGCAATCACTAGGTAGGATCAGGTGGTGACTTTGAGGCAGAGAAGTGGGGAGCGACCTATCAATACATGGGATGAATTGAAAACTATAATACGGAAGAGTTTGTACCTACTCACTACTACCGGGAGCTTCATCAAAGATTACAAAATTTATATCAAGGCTCCAGGAGTGTGGAAGATTACCATAAAGAGATGGAGACACTAATGATTAGTGCAAATGTGGAGAAGGATAGTGAAGCTACCATGGCTCGATTTCTGCGTGGATTGAATAGGGACATTGCAAATACAGTGGAATTGCAACACTATGTGGAAATTGAAGACATGTTACATGTGGCAAT